ATGGTTCTTCTTGTCCTAAGAACCACCTTATAATATACTGTAGGAAGATTGCTGTGTACGTCCAAAATGACAAACTGTTGATACACTGCTTTCAAGATAGTCTATCTGGTCTAGCTTCTCGTTGGTACATGCAGTTAGATAGCTCTCATGTCGGTTCATGGAAGAATCTAGCCGACTCCTTCCTAAAGCAATGTAAGCATAACATAGACATGGCTCCAGACCGCTTAGATTTGCAAAGAATGGAGAATAAGAGTACAGAAAGCTTTAAGGAATACGCCCAAAGATGGAGGGACATGGCAACTCAGGTTCAACCTCCTTTAACCGATAAGGAGCCATCTTCCTTTTTTATCAACACTTTAAGCAGCCCTTCTATGATCAGACGATAAGTGTAATGCCCTGCATTACCTATAAGGGTATTTTCATGACTTTATATTATTATTGTTTTTTTAGGCAAGCTAGTCAAATCTAATTAGCTTTATGCCAATAAACTTTAATCAATCCTAGTTAATAATTGTACACTTCTAATACTATAACTAATTAAGTTCAAGTTAATTTTATTTACTTATTAAAAAGAAATTTACAACAAAATTTAGTGATTCATCTTATCAATGTTTAATTAATAATGTATGTTAATCAAAAATAAATATGGATAAGATATTAATAAGATTAGCGAGATTATAATTGTATTTAAGTAACAAAATTAACAATACTACTTTAGTAATTAGGTAAATGTTGTGAAATATGGTAATTGTAATGGTAGCATTATTTGAGTATTTATAACGTTTCATACATTTTATCCAAAGTTTTATTTTAAGCTAATTAACCAAGTAAAGCCTCATATTACCTTTATTTTACTCTTTATTTTTCTACCTTAATTAAATTAACTTAATTAAGGGAATATAGAAAGTTTTACTTAACTCATAACCATGATTAGGCAATATAACTCACCTCCCACTAACCATGATTAGGCAATATAGCCCACCTTCCACCCAAGAGACACATGTASTAATTAAGTTAGTTAGGAAGACCAAAAAACACTAAAAATCCCATTAAGTAATTGGCCATGCATGAGGAGAGAGAAGAAGTTTGTTCCATGTTCCAAGATTCATGTTTGTTTCATCTTCCAAGCCATTCTCCTTAAGTTACCTATGTTTGTTTCATTCATTTTCCTCCAAGAACATTTCTAAACAAATCTGAAAATTTCCTCTCAATTATCTATCCTATGTTTTAAATCACACCATAGAGGAGTTGTGGTTGCTTTTCCAAGTCCCTTCAAGGATTGTTCATTGCGGTTTTGTCTTTTCGGTAAGAACGGTTTCTTTTAGTCTAGTTTTGTAAGTAGATTTTTTCTAATAATTTTTATAGAACCTAAGCATGTTCATATCCATTTTCTAAGGTTTCCATCATCATTTCAAGCTCTCTTAGTTCCTGGAAATTTTCTCTTTTTATTCTTTACGGTATAGAGGAAAACGCACCAATGGTATGCATCATTCTTCCTTGTATAAATTATTTTAAAGGTTCATTATTAAGATAAAATAGGTACTGTTTAGGCCTTATTTTTATTGATTTGAGATCTGAAAATCTAAATTTAAAAGGTCATAAAAATGTTCATAAAATTGCTTCATAACGGTTTTTAACGGTTTATGTTATTTTCATAGTTTTAGCTTGTTTAGTATCAAATTTTGGATTGTTAA